TGAAGGCGGATTGTATAAAATGGATTTAAAAAAATAAAATTAAAAAAAACATTTATTAACGAGCTGCAGTTTTATTACATCACGCGCTGGCACAGATGCAGTATATTAACGCCACGGGTCATCAATAAGGTGCAGATTGGTCCTCAATTTGTGTTTCCAACACACTTTTTCACAGAGCACATCACGCGCTCAAACTGTGTGTGTGTCTACAGGGAAAATAAAATTAAAATAAGCATGTAACGACCACAAACGGAGGAAAATAGCGGAGTAAAAGTACCGATACATCATTTAAAATGTACTCAAGTAAAAGTAAAAGTACACAATTTTTAAACTACTCAAAAAAGTACAATTACTGATAAAAACTACTTAATTACTGTAACGTGAGTATTTGTAATTCGTTACTTCACACCCCTGGCTTTTATTGGCCAAGGTCCACCCATGAGGCCGTTTAACCGACATGTCAAACAACCAATCACAGTTCGTTTTGTTTCAGCGTCACGTTTCGGGGCGTGGAAATGTCACCACAATAACAGACCGGTGTGTAAAACTCTCGGATGTATTTTTAAAGATTCTGTGCCGCGAACTTTAACATTTCACATACTTTTGAAAATCCAGCGTTTAGTTGATCCTGATAAGCGCTCGTCGTCACAGTTGTAAACACGACGGCTTTCTTCTTTCGTGAGGGGGTTTGGCGTCACTCCATCTTTGTTTCCAGGCGGAACGTTATAGAACGCGACACGCACGTCTCCCGGAAATCCTGTATAATTCAACCAATCCGATGACGACTTCGAAACTCCTGAAGTGTTTCCACTTTTGTGTGCCATATGCATCAGACGTTTAGCCAACGTTCTGTGGGCGTGACGTCTGAGGCTGAGATTAGAAAACACTTTAATACACTTAAACACACTAAAAAAAACAGCTAAAACATGGACATATTAACAAACAATATAGAAACAGATTCTGACAAAGCAAGATTGCTACATTATATTTTAGGAATATTATTATTATTAGCTTTGTTTGTCGTATTGCTCTTCAGATTGTTCTACAACCACACAAGTGTTTAAGGATAAATAATGATAAATACATTGAGAAAAAAGCATTGATCACATTAATAATACACATAAACACACACATACTCTTAATCCGACTAAACGGGTGTGGACTGGACCACATTGGCTGTGTCTCACTCAAAGAAATGGACACCATGGGATATGGGATTTTTAATGGGGTGTGTGTGTGTCTACAGGGATATCATGTTTCTAATGGAGCAGGGATGTAGAGGTTTCTCATTTTCCAGTTGGCTGAATCTGAAATCTAGGAATGTATAGATACTTACCCTACCACAAAGATCAATCAGTATCGTGTACACACACACACACACACACTCCACGGAGGCCTGATATCAGTCATTTAATTCTGTCAAACTGTCACATTTCTGTGTGTGTATGTGTGAAAGAGAGAGAGAGAGTACTGAAGCTTTCAACCACAGAAGTGCAACATTAATCATAGCCCTGACAATTTATTAGAGCGAGTAAACACACAGCCAGCACCTCATCATACACACACACACACACATACACACACACTCACACACACGTTCATGCTGTTGTTTTTCATACAATGAAAAGTGAATAGTGACCAATAGTGACTATAGTCTCCTGAAGCCATACTAAAATTTTGTGTAAAAAAGTTCAAAATTTAAATTTATCTTGTCTGCTCTTAAATTTTATTCATGTTCATACAGATAAAAAAAATGCACGTTAGAGCAGCATTGTTATTATTATATAAAAACTATTAAAAATGTAAATAAAGCTGAAATAAATAAAATATAAATATTATATATAATACATACTAAAAAAGCAAACTTAAAATAAATGTTTAAGTACTAAAATTGCTAAAACTCAAAAATAAATCTACATGGAAATGTTTAATAAAAATAATACCAATTACAAAAGCACGTAACAAAATTACTTAAACTTAAACTAATTAAAATTATTTAAAATGTAAAAAATAAATGCCAATTCAAAATATTAATGCACTTAGTATACTGTATACTATTATGCATACTATAATAGTATATAAATAAATAATACTGAAATAACACTGGTCTGATGTCACTGAAGCCAAATGTCATTGTTTCTTGCGTAAATCATAACTGATCACAAAAAAAAAAATCTTGACACATGCATAGGAATTACCAGAAAAAAACAGATTATCAGTGAAAAACTGCTTAAGCTTGTATTCGAATATCGATGATACCAAGTTCTACAGACTACAAGCCATTTTTGCACTTTCATTGCACAGAAAAAAGCCTGCCTATCATCCCGTTTTGTTTCACAGAAGATAAAAAGTCCAATGGGTTTGGAACGATATGAGGGCAAATAAAGTTAATTTCCTACTTCTTTAAAACATACACACAAAGCAGGATGCTTCAGTCCTAGAGCCTCATGCAACCTCATTCATGTTCCAAAGACATGTCTGTATAACAGTGTGTAATCTGTCTAACTCAATGGAGCTCAAAATAAATGACCAGCACTTATTTTTCAAGTGGTTATACGCATGCAATATTCAGCCAGATACACACACGTCCACACAATGAACGTCTCACATATGCTCTTGGCCTCAAACAGATAAAGCTTTGAATTCAGATGGTGCCGCCAGTGTATGCTGGTGTTTGAATGTAGTGGACCACAAAACACTGAGCAAAAAGAAAGACGAGATATTTTTTTTCCTCTCTCTTTCCTGACAACATTTGAAAGGCATAATTATGATTTCCAGAGAGCTGCAATTAGCAGAATCCGCTGCTCTTGCTTCTCTGTCTATCTCCCTCCCTCCATCTCTCTCTCTTCCTCTCAAACATAGCCACAAAATCAGTGCAGCGTCCAGTTGGCATATCTCACTGTGTTTCTATGTCACATCACATATTCCTTCCTCATTTGCTCTTTTGTTTCAACACTCACACCCTCA